CATACCCGCCACGAACACTACCAAGCTTCAAAGTCCCAACCCAGGCCAAAACCAGATAACCAATCGTTCCGTCCCCCAAAGCAGTGGCTTCGCAAGCCAGGTCCCAAACCGCCTCGAGCCTTGTCCCTCCGCCGAGCAGAGGGTCCCATAACGCCCACAGCCGGAGAAAAAATCCGCCACGCCAAAGTCCCAACACATGTCAATGCCATCACTCCGCCAAATACCGCCCGCACCGCCCAAAGCCAACCAATTGCTCCACCCAGCTGGGGTGCCACAGTCGCTCCGCCAAGCCGGGGCCGCAAAACGTCCCAAAGCCAGCCACGCTGGTTCCCAAGCCGTCCCAAAGCCCAGAAAAGCATCAGAGTGTCGGCCGTCCAGGTTTCGTTCATTGTCTGTTAAGTTAGTCCGCAGCACAATCCCAATACATTTTTTCCGAGAACACACCAGTAAGGTCGCGATGTCAAGGTTGACGACATCTTGAAAGACTTCGGCTCGACAAGTGCACACCACCACCAGAAGTTTTGCATCGGTTCGATGCGAGGACTGCTGTTGGCCTGGATGAAGCCCCACTTCGTGGTAGTTTTTATTTTATACTGCCGTCTTTAATTCTTGACGAACAAACAGACCAGTGTCGGTACATCGTAGCCTAGAGGAAAGTTCCGCAACAGAAACGGCCCCGAAATCTGGACTCATGACCGGTCAGAAAGCAAATGTGATTTCGCCGGCTCAGCCCAGGAACGATCAAAGCCCGGTGACGGCTGCACAACACTTTTGGACGGCCCCGCTACTCCAGCGAGGCATGCTTTTCAGCTACGACGGCAAGTGGTTCATGTGCTTGGGCTCGGCAGCAGCGGTGGTGTATGTCCCTTGCAAGACTGGGCCTACGTTTACACTGTACACGTTTCTTCTCAGCCGTCTTCACAACCCCGAACACACAAGCTAGATACGAATGTGTGCTCGGCAAATGCCCCAAGCCTTCGCAGTCCCGTTCGTTCATGTTTTTTGTCCATATCGTTTGTCGCCAAGGCTGTGCAGCTCATCGAGACAGGCTTGACCACAGCCGGAAGCTTGCCACCTCCGCCAGAAGATGAGACTTGCATCCAAGCCTCTCTGCCCGCCGTGCAGAGACGAGACGCACTCGTCGTGAGTGACGAAGTATGTTTGCTCCACCTCCCTCCTGAGAGGTTCCGTTGCTACTATCATTTTTATCCGCTAGAGTCTAGAGTTCGGTTGTTCGTATTAGTTGCTGCCTCAGCTCCTTTTGTAGGTCTGCTCCGGTCACACTTGTGGTGCAGTACAACAAGGTGGCTAGGTTGCAGTGTTTTGCTTGATCTGTTGCTATCCAGCTCAGCAATCGCTTGGCTACCAGTTTCAGATCAGTGCCACCTTGAAGTGTGGCTTTTTGTGCGACAAGACACACCGGCTTATGTGAAACCCAGGTGCAAGTGCATCAGTACTCGCTGCACTTCTGCGACGCTGACGCCAGCGAAAGTGTCGGCAGCAACCTCATCCTCAGAAGAAGCTTGAAGCCTGACCCATTGCTTGTGGCCTTGATGCGGACGAAAGGCATCGTGAAGCTCACGGTGGATGGGCTTGCTAGGTTGATGCAAGAGCACCAGCTTCCTGCACGGAAAACGATGACGAAGAGTGCCCGCATTCGGGAGCTCATGCGGCTGTCCGCCGTGAGGGACAGCCTGGCTTCGGAAGAGCTAGGTGAGCTGGAGACCTTGCTCACCAAGATGGATGAACGCAGGCTCAAACGCACGGCAAAAGAAGACGAAGACGAGGAAGCTGAGGATCCTGAGGACCCTAATTTGTGCATGCTTCGGTGCCCTTTGCCTCGATTTTCTGGGTCGTGTTTGCCTAAAGGAGTGTGTGTTTCGGCATGTGCTGCTAACTTGCAATGGGTGCTCGTAATGCTCAGCCCTGACAGGAATCCACGGATTTGCATGATGCCGATCCGGCCGTGGATGCAGCACGACAGATGCTGGCGCAAATCGAGCAAGACGAGGATATCTTCCGGAT